ATGATAAAATGATAAAATGATAAAATGATAAAATGATAAAATGATAAAATGATAAAATGATAAAATGATAAAATGATAAAATGATAAAATGATAAAATGATGATTAATAAAATAATAAATGAAATAAAATAAAATAATAAAATAAAATAAATAAAATGCTCCTCTTTTCTCTTCCAGATGAGGAAGGATAAGACCTTCTGTCAGAGTATCTGGAATATGATGACCTCCTATGCCTTCTTCAGGAGAGTGACAGACCAGTTCCTTGAGGAGATGCCCATAGACTCCACAGTGAATTCAGAGGATGAAGTTAAGAGCATGAAAGTTGCATTGATTATGGAAGCCACCACCAGACTCACTGCCGTGGACAATCATCCCATGAATCTTGTGCTGGGCTTTGGAACAAAATACCTGCAGGAAAACTTCAGCCCTTGGATCCAAAGCCAAGGGGGATGGGTAAGAGATAGTCTAAATCTGTTTTTCTCAGCCCTGGCAGCTTTCCGATGGATGGACTTCAACTCCCAGAACTCCCCAGCCAACCTGCCATTCTGAGGGATTTTGGGAGTTGAAGTCCACCAGGTCTCTGAGCCCTCCTAATAAATTTTCTTCTGAATAGAGACATTTTTAAAAACAGCAGATCTGTGGCAAGAATATTTATTTATTAAATTTGTACGCCATCCATCTGTCTTATCAAGTGACTCTAGGCAGCTACATATGAGAGTTCATTTTTTTTTTTTTTGCATAAGATTTTGCATAAGAACAGGCAACATTTCAATTGATTGCCTTTTGTGGGATTTGAGAATTTGGGGTATTTTTCACCCTCATTTCAATGCTTGGACCATTTGATTTTTGTATTAGACCTGCCCACTGAACTATAGGAAGAAGCATGTACATTCTATGTCCTTTAGGAAGGTCATCCTCATATTCAGCAAACTCTTAAGTTCTCTGGCCACATGGGGCTGACCAGGTAGCCTACAAACCACCGACAATGTCGGTTGGAAGTCCTTTCATGCCCCAAAGGCAGGCATAAGAAAGAGGAAAGTTCTTACCGACCGTCTGTGATAACCTGTTCCTTGGTTGAGACGTGTTGGTTGGCATGTATTCAAGCTTCTGATTCAGAACTTGCTATTATCTTGCAAGGAATCTGGAAACACTTCTAAATCTCACAGGTCCTTTTTTCAAGAGGCAACTGGACTTTCTGGTTTTTCCTTGAAGTTTCCTTTTCGCTTTTCATTCAGGAGCTTCATTCTTGAGCTCCGACTGGATGGTGGGGAATGGAAGGACCATCCAGGCGGAGCTGAAGAAGTTTCTTGGATGAGAAGCAAAATATCTTCAAAGGGGAAAAAAAACAGAAAGCCCACTTGCCTCTTGAAAAAAAAAGCACCTGTGATACAACCATGACATGGATGACTGAGAATCTCCATTGTTGTTGTTGTTAGTTGCAAAGTCATGTCCAACCCGGTTCCACCACAAAACCGCAGTAGACTAAAGCGCGCTTGACGAAAGCCCGTACGTGACGTCATCACAGCGCGACGAAAACAGCACGCTGTGAGCTGTAAAGTTAAAATTAACGCGTAAATCTAAACCTAGCCCCCCCA